AAGTTAGATTTATCCCAGGAATGCATGGTTGGTTTACCATATGATAATCGATGAGATTTGCCACATTAACAGATTAAGGGCATAAAATTATGATCACTTAAACTGATGCAGAAAAAGCACTTGATGAAACCTAAGAATAGAAAAACTTTCTCAATTTTATAAGGGACTTTTCCAAAAAGCTACTGATTTCTTTTAACATTTATAGCTTTTTCACTAATACTAGGGACAAGACAAGGGTGTCCTCTTTCACCACTCTCACATAGCGTTATACTGAAAATCCAAGGCAGTGTAATAAGACAAGAACAAAAAGCATGTTGGTTTGAATTAAAAAGAAATCTGTCCTGGAAGATGTCTTGTGTGAATAGAAAATCCTAAAAAACCTACAAGAGACCACAACTTGGCAGTTTCTTATAAAATTTAACATGTAATTGACACATGACTCAGTAATTCCACTCCTAGGCATTTATCAAAGAGAAATGAAAGCCAATGTTCACACAAAACCCTGTACATAAATGTTCACTGCTACACAAATGAAGTTTTATTCATAATAGCCCAAAACTGGAGACCACCCAGATGTCCTTCAGTTGGTGAATGGTTCAACAAATTGTGGTTCATCCATACCATAGAATACTATCCAGCAATAAAAAGGAGCCAGCTATTGATAGACACAATCTGGATCAGTCTACAAGGAAATTATGTTGAGTGATAAAAGCCAATCTGAAAAGGTTATATCATATATAATTGCATACATTAATTTCACAAATACAACATTCTTGAAATGACAAAAGGATAGAAATGGAGAACAGGTTAGTAGATGCCAGATATTGGAAGAGGAAGAGGGGTGGCTATAAAAGGACTCCACTAGGGATCCTCGTAGAATTGTTCTGTATCTTGACTGCATCAATGTCAATATCCTGGATGTGATATTATTCTAGACTTTTGCAAATTGATACATTGGGAGAAATGGGGTTAAAGGTACAAGAGATCTCTATTTATTTCTTATAACTGTGTGAGAATCTACAATCCTTTCAAATTTACTTATATATCAACTATCTAAGAATGGACATTTAAAAATAATGGCAGTTCCATCATTTCAAAATTTTCTAGAACTTATTACACATTTTTGAAATTTTTTCTTAAAATTTAAGAGTTTGTATTCCCTAGATATCATGTGTTCTTTCTAAATGATGATTACTATGGTGGTTTATCATATAACATTTTGTACTCTTTAATATATAGTTTCTGTTGCACATACTATAATTAAATGTAAGTTTAGGTCAGATTGACTTGTTCATCAAGTTATCCTTATTAAATCTATTGCATTCTCATATCTATTTCAATATTTCTAAAAATTAAATGCAATATTTTTAAGAGATACTGCATCTTAATTTTTATTCATTTAGCATATCCTTGATTTAAATTCTCATTTAAATGAAACAAGTTGGCAGGTGATCAAAATACATTCAAAATGTATGTTTGTGTGAGCTAAAACTGAACTTTCTGCCCCTAGCTTTCAGATATTTGAATATATGTCTTACCTTTGATCAAGAAGAATATTTTGCTCACATTAAGGGTCTTCCAAGTTCTTTTTGGTATAAATATTAAACAGGTGCCTTCAACTACTGGGAACACAGGAACACTATTAAAATGGGGGCAGAATAAACACATTCACATTAAATTAGTTTGTGTAAGCAAATTAGTTATCCAGAACTGAGTGTGGTTCTTGTTCACATCATTCAATATGAAACACGAAGTTGGATCACTTTTTTTTGGTGATACAACGTGGAATTGTGTCCCTTGTTTCAAATATTACTTTTTTGAAACATTTTTGCCGGATTTATAATGTTAAAACAGAGTACATGAATATATATACACATATAGCCCAAAGATTCATTAAATTATAAGAACATTTAAAGTTTAGTGACAATAGGGCTAAGTGTCAATAACTTTAAGAGCATATATATACACACACACATAATTTATTGAAAATATAAATTAGTCAAACTATTTTGAAAATAAGATATTATCTTATAGAATCACTCCTTAAGTCTGGTCCAAAGCAGTCACCTATATGTGCTTGAAGCTTACTTGAAGTGGACATGGAGTGAAAAATGAAGAAGTTTTAAATCTTTCCAGGCTTTTCCCCAGTCTCATGAACTGGAGAATATAGACTGGGTAATCTTTAATATTCTGTAATACCAACTTTGTTCTGAAAAATAAAAACATTTGTCCTCTACCAGGCCTTCATCTAGTCCCCAGTGAATGGAAAAACCAAGAGAAAATTCTAAGACATACTTATTTTACTTTTATGAATACACATCCAACCCTATTTTAGTACCACTGGCAGGGCCATTTTAAAAAGAGGATCCTGGGTTCCCATTGTATTTCTGCCTTGTAAATGCTGTGTAAATTTCAGCAAGTTTCTTAAAAGCTATAAAATGATGATAATGGTCATGTCTCACAGCAGTTACAGTGATTAAAGGGCGTCCTGTGGTAAATTACCTACCACAGTTTGTAGGAACAGAGGCTGTACGTAAATAGACATGTTGGTCTCTTACTTTGCTGCATTTGTCCTGTAGATATTCAGATATATTTGAGGAAATAAACTTGCCAAGTTCTTTGTTCTATATAAATATTAACAGGAAAGAAATTTAAAAATATTTTGAGTCAGATATTCTACTGAAACTCTTCTCTGCTCAGCTACTCAACATATAGATATTATATATGCATTATTTTATAGGATAAGAGAAAGTCTTTCAAGTTTTTCTCCTTTAGGGCAATTAAATGTGAGCAGAGGTAGAGTGTATCACTTGTGGGAAGAAATTTTAATATCCAGTATCCAGTTTAGCACCTTTCATTTTCTCTCCCATGGAGACTGATATCTCCCAAATCGTGCGGCTCTGGTACCCTGCATCCCTGAATAGGAGGCTGACAGGAAACAGAGCCATCAGCTAAAATGCAAATGAAAATTTAGCACAATAAAATTAACCTTTGTTGCCACTGAGATATGGAGGTTGTTTGCTACTGTGGCATCTTCTATGTTAGCCTGATGGATTCTACTTAAGATTCCATGCTGGGCTATCAAAGGGAAGTTAAAGAAGATTATGACATTGGCCCTATTTTCCATTGGGCTATACTTCTCTCTTGGGGCAAAATGCTAACTAAATCTCTTTCATTTTACATGTATAAAATAATTTTTATACCTACTTCTTTAAATATTCATAGGCCCTAATTACCTGTGCTGAGAAGTTAGACATACTCTTGGAAACCAAGAAAATAATTCTAATGAAAATAATATTCCATTCCACATGAGCCTATGCTTTTGCTAGTAAAACACACACACACATTCATTCCATCACTAATTCCAAAGTGTAAGGGGGAAAAAAAACGATGATAGTTGTAAGAAGTCCATCTAACTCCTATATGTCTATGAATCTTTATGTACTTACTAATATCTTGCAGAGAAAATGGTCTCATGGGTTCCTGTATGTTATTTAGAGAGAAAAAATTAGACACATGACCCTTTGGGCTGAAGATTACAGTTATCATTGGAGACTATTTACCACCACATGAGCCATGCAGTTAAGGGGTAAATCTTGGGAGCTGAGACTTCTAATTTCAGCTCCAACATGTAAAGAGATTGGAAGTTCTCACTGTCATCCTTACATAAACAAGAAAAAGCTGGATAAACTGAAAACCAACATCTTTTCTTGCATCACCAGTGTCCTGAGGTTGTAGGGCAAACCATTTCTTCGAAATCTGGAGAGACAGGCAACCAAGATCTGCTTATTGGAGCAAAAGCTGCTGGAGGCATAAACTAGGAGAAGCACTAACATAGCAATTTTGATGAATTGCTGGAGGCTGTGCATGGACTAGCATGAGAGTGAGAACTCCCCATCCCCGTCACTTTCATGAGCTTTCATCCAGGAACCCAGCCTGATGCTCATGGTGAGAATTCTAGATCTCTATAGCAAGGGAAAGGAAGGGTACTCATTGTGAAACATGCCCACGGCCTTTGATCTACTTTCCAAAGAAAAAGATTTCACCAGAATGCAATTCTGAAACTTTATCTCAGTTGGGATGACAGAATTCCTTCCCACCAGGCCCCTCCAGAATTCTTAGGAAATAGATTGGGAAAACTACTGTCAAACAAAGGAGTAAGGAGCCAGAGGAAAAGAAGCTATAATCCTTGAGAAATGCTTGTGAAGGTCACAGCCATGAGACATAGGCCCCCTTTGATTGTAAATCAGAAGATTATACAACACTCCCCCCTCCTAGACATCACATCTAGGCAGCTCCAGTATAATGACAGTGGATTATAGCTGCAAGAGTGACAAGACACTCTCTGAGGAGCAATGTATAGAAAAGCCCTAAAGCCAAGAGGGGAGGAGAAAAAACAATTCTAGGGCATTGGAAGCTTCTAGCACTTAAAGCTATAGCCGATTCCTAGCCATAATAACATATAAATCCTCACACTGAAGTCCGATTTGCCTCAGTTCTTATATATAACAGATCCAGCTTTCAACAACAGAATCACAAGGCGTGCCAAAAGGCAAGAAACACACTGAAGAGACAAAGCAAGTACCAGAACCAGACTCGCTTATGATACAGATGTTGGAATCATCAGGCAGGGAATTTAATAAGATAATTGATATGTTCAGGGTTGTCATGCAAAAACGTAGACCACATGCAAGAACAGATGAGTAATGCTAGCAGACACGTGGAAACCCTAAGAAAGAATAAAAACCAAATGCTGGAATTAAAAAAAAAAAGCAACCTGTGACAAACTAAGGATTCCTTCAACATATTTATCAGTCTCTAACAAAGCTGAGGAAAGAATCAGTGAGCTTGAGTATAAGTCAATAGAAACTTTCCGAACTGGATTGCAAAGAGAAAAAAGAAGGAAACAGAATATTCAAGATCTATGGAACAATATCAAAAGATGTAACATAACGGATGAGTTGAATACCAGAAGGAGAAGAGAGAATGGAGCAGAAGAAATACTTGAAGTACTAATGGCGAAGAACTTTGCAAAATTGATGACAGACACCAAACCACACATCCAGAAATCTTAGAGAATGTAAAATCTTGATAGCTGTAGTGGATAGAAGTTCCCACCTCAATGTTCCCATAACCTTCATGGCAGTGATTGCTGCTACAACTGTGGTGATCCTTTCAGGGAGAAACATCCCCACTCCTCAAGGGCATAGTCAGGGAAAGCGCTATGCTGAACTGGCCGGGATTCTTATGTTCATAATTTTTTGATTCACTTCAATATCCCAGTTCTCTTGGCACAAATCTGTTCCCAGAAGAACTGGTTAGGGTCACTAATCAGGCTCATTATCTCACAAACCTGGAAAATCTGTTATAGTCTACCCATCCATAGTCAGAGCCTTCCCATTCATCCCACTTATTTCTCCCTTAAAGATAATTTTATTCCAGGGGCTCTTCCTTCCTGCAGGGTCTTTAGCAGGATCATGCAGCTCCATCTTAGCCAGCTTTCCTAAATTTGACCCCCCTAGTGAGCAGGAATTTTTGTCCATTCCTTCACGGAAGGCTCCTGTCTCCTGCTTAGCAAGGAGGAGGCTCTACTTAGCTACCTCATCCCTCACCACCACCATCACCAATACACACAACATACAAACAGACACACTTGCCAATGTACCTGTTGTTATTAAAGGCTCGGTCATACAAAGGAGAGCATTTCATGCGACCATTACTGAACAAGGGTGCTCCTCTAGGTAAATTAATGTAAATTTTTAAAGATAAGCAGCTAGGAGGGGATTTTGCAATTATAAGAAAAAAAAAACGGATATGCTTCATCAGGCCACCCATTGGGTGATTTTTTTAAGCTTAATGATTGGTGCTAAATTTGCTTTTTAATAATTCTGCGTTTATTGTGGTATAGCTATATATTTTGTAGAATCCAAAACAAGAAAAAAATTGTTTCTCAAAGCTCGTTATTTACGGAATCATACAGTTAAAAAATTTGGAGATTTGGAGGAATCAGCATCATACAGGTAATGACAGTACCCGAGAGAGATATGTTAAAAAAAAAAAAAAATCAGTGGTCCAATGGTGAAAATGGAGAAAACTATTGCTTAAAGTTTACACAAAAGTAAAGGAATCCATAATGGAGGGAAACAATGACCTATGGAGAATTAGGAGAGCAATGACATCTGAGCGGTGTGGAGAGTTTTGATAAATTTAGAGAAAGAGAATTCATTGGAGTTATGGAAATAGAATCATGATTGTGATGGATATTTGAGGAAATAGGATATGAAAAGTTTCAGAATTTTGTTAAATTGTTATTTTGAGAAGATTGAATTTATAGCAGAAGAAAGAGAAATTGAATAATGTCCTTTAACAACACGGTATATAAAGAAAAAGACACTAGGTTTGATCCAGGTTTAGTGATTTATAGGATAGTTGTATTTGAAGGGCAAAGTTACAGAGGGAAAAATGCAAACATAGTCAGGAGATAAAGAATTTCTTGACTTTCAATGTCATTTTAGAATCTATTCTTGAGACATATAAAGGAAAGATATGGAAAAAAAGTTAGTGGATTTTAACTTAAAATTTGGGAGTAGTTCTTTGGCTGAGGCTGTTAATTATCCAAAAATATTCATTTCTCTCTCTCTGTCTCTCATTCCTGGACACATGGCTTTTTAGCCTCACATTCCATTCCCTAGTCATCCTTGTTACTTGTGGTCATGTAACCAAGTTCTGGTTAAAGATAGGTGTATAGTACTGATTTGTGTCATTTTTGTCTATGATCTTAAAAGTAATACATGCAAACCCTCTTGGTCTTTTCTCCCTTCCTGTCTTTGGGAGATGTTGAAAAACTGTTCCAACTTCCTTAGATCTTGAGATGGAAGCTGCTTTCTCAGCTCTAAATCATATATCACAAGACTGACACACAAAACGTTAGTAAAACGTTAGTATTTCTTGTTTAAGCCACTGTTACAGGCGGCTACTTTGTTACAATGGCATAATTTGTACCCTTCTGATACAAGTTCCCTTCTGATAAAGTTCCCATAATAAGCAGGCCATTTTCATAATTAATATAGTTCTTATTAAAATGCACGGAAATCTAATATCTAAACTAGATTAAAATGATCAAATGTACAGTTATATTTTCAATAGTATAATGTTCACAATTCAATGCTATTCTCCAATATACATCAAAATACCCATAACCTTGTGCTGCAAAATTACACAGAAGGTTTTAAATTAAAAAGAAAATCAAATGACCATCAGCTCTGGGTCAGTGACTATTCAATGCAATGCTCAACTTAAATTATTTTTTTTAACCACTTTGGTTGAATATCAGTGAAGAATTTCAGAGACCACCTGAAAAAACAAAAAGAACAGTTAAATAATCCTCAATTCCTTTTGGTTTACATATGCCCCCAAATATCCAAGGGAATTACCAGTCTTGACTAGGTTCCTCTCAGTTGATTTGTCCATTCCCCAAAACCAAACAAAGAAAAATCACTATCACTTAGCTCTTAGCTCTTTTCTTCAATGAAAGGAATTATGTATTTTAAGAAAGCAAAAACCTTTACTGTTGCCGATGTTGTTACTTTTTAACTTGTATTTCAGGATTTATAAAAGTTTTCATTATAAAAATCTTTCTCAAGATAGACTTGGGTTCTCTAACTGTGATAGTAATAGTAAGGAGAGGCTTGAGTTTTTAAAGAAGGCAGTGAACTATAGGTACTGCAGCCTTTATGTAACACCATTTGTGTGAGTCAAGATGTTGTGGAATGTCGCTCCACTTATTCTCGAGCGTACTAACCAAACTCCAATCTCGTGAAAACGTAAATAGAACTGAAGTGTTTGCAGAGGTGATGAGAAATCAGTGCCCGGAAAGAGCACTTAGCTATGTGTTTAACCATAAATGTCAAAGAGCAGGGCCATAAGTGTTTCTCTCTGTTTCTTGAAAGTGTTCTGAATTTGAATACCTTTCTTTTTATTTTCTCTTGGGCTTTGGAATGACAAAAGATGGGTAGTGAACTGACCTTCCAGTGTTTATTGTCTTACTGAGTATTAACACCTGTGTAGATAACTTTCTGTTACATTCATGTGCAATTATCGCCCAATGTTTTTAAGGTTGTTCATATTTGTCCATGCACAGGGAGTTCCTAACTGAAATATACTTCCAGATGTGGAAGATGTCACATAGCAGATTCTCTTGGATTAATTCTGTTCTAGTATTTTCTGTTATGCAGGGCAGCGCTTCTGGCCTTTCAGATCTTGGACAGAAATGGCAAATCATGCCTTCCAACGCATACCCTGAAAAATGTTATCCGATACGTGGCTAAAATACATCATTGATAGGTTCCAGTATCATCTTTCTAGATTTATTTGTTAATTCAATAAATATTTTCTAAGAACTTCTATTAGCTATGTTACCATTTTAGGTTTCAGAGTTATAGAAGTAATTAATATGTCCCACTACTCTCAGGAGTTACCAATACATACCAGGAGGTCACATAATTGCTGACTTAATTGATTATCAGAAGTCAAGCAATTCTTACTGTATGGAACCAATATTTGGACTCCATCAAATGTCGGGCACATTACCCAAGTTCTTATGAAGCTAAAAGAAGGAAATATTGAAAATAAGCAAACACAGTCTTAGTTCTCACTAAAGTGGAAAGTGAGTTTTCAATTTTGGTGTTCTTACTCCAATGTCTAATTTCTTGTTAATTAAATGGTGACTATGTTTAGGTAGTGTGGTTAATGGAATAGGTTTATTTCTCAGAAGCACACTAGTCGATGGCTTCTTAAACACACACTCGTGTGCATATACAAACACAACCACACACTTTATTTATAATTTCTAAAACCATGTGGGAACTAATTCCACCAAGAGCCAATGCAGATGTACAAATATTCCCTCAGAATCAGATTACTATAGATTGCAGGAAACAGTTCCCATGCCCATTACAGAAGGAGATAGCTGGGATTAATTCTATTAGAATCCCTGTTAGTAGATTGATCTGCCATGCTATGTATTTCTGTTAAACCAGGTCACCACTCAAGAATTGTCCTGTTTGTTTACTTATTCTCTTCCTATATTCTCATCTCTGTGACTGCGTTGTGCTTTTCCTTCTGTGAACCAATCCACTTTTCCCTCTAAAAGTCATGTCCTGCATTCTTTTACATTTTTTTAAAGATTTTATTTTATTTATTATTTATTTATTTTTTTGCTGAGGAAGATTCACCCAGAGCTAATATCTGTGGCTAATCTTCCTCTTTTTTTTGCTGGAGGAAGATTAGCCCTGAGCTAACATCTGTGCCAATCTTCCTTTATTTTGTATGTGGGTCGCCACCACAGCAAGGCTGATGAGTGGTGTAGGCCCACATCCAGGATCCCAACCCACAAACCTGGGCCACTGAAATGGTGCATGCCTAACTTAACCACTATGCCATAGGGCTGGCCCCAAGATTTTATGTTTTAGAGTAGTTTAGATTTACAACAAAACTGAGGAAAGTACAGATTTCCCATACCCTGCCTGCCCCAACACATGCAAAGCCTATCCCATCATCAACACCACTCACAGAATAGTACATTTTTTACAAAGGATGAACCTATGTTGACACATCATAATCACCTGAAGTCCATAGTTTACCTTAGGGTTCACTCTTGGTGCTGTACATTCTGTGAGTTTGGACAAACGTATAATGACATATATCCATTATTATAATAAAATACAGAGTGTTTTCATGCCCTACAAATCCTCTGTTCTCTGCCTATTTATCTCTCCCCTCCCCCCCTCACCCCAGGTAACCACTGATCTTTTAATTTTCTCCATAGTTCTACCTTTTCAAAAATGTCATGTGGTTGAAATCTTACATTATGTAGCTTTTTCAGATTGGCTTCTTTCATTTAGTAATATGCATTTAAGTTTCCTCCATGCCTTTTCATGGCTTAATAGCTCATTTCTTTTTTAAGCACTGAACACTATTTAATTGTCTGGATATACAGTCATGCACTGTGTAATGACATTTTGGTCAATGACAGACCACATATATGGCAATGGTTCTATAAGATTAGTACCATATAGCCTAGGTGTGTAGTAGGCTATGCCATTTAGGTTTGTGTAAGTACACTCTATGGTGTTCACACAATGACAAAATCACCTAATGACACATTTCTCAGTATGTATCCCAGTCGTTAATCAAAGCATGACTGTACCAATTTCTTTATCCATTCACCTACTGAAGAACATCTTGGTTGCTTCCAAGTTTTGACAGTTATGAATAAAGCTGCTATAAAGATCTGTGTGCAAGTTTTTGCATGAATATAGTTTTCAAGTCTTTTGCATAAATACCAAGGAGCACAATTGCTGAATCATATGGTAAGAGTATATTTAGTTTTGTAAGAAATGACCAAACTGTCTGCCAAAGTAGCTGTGCCATTTTGCATTCCTACTAGCAATGAATGAGAGTTGCTGTTTCTCTACATCCTTGTCAGCATTTGGTTCTGTCAGTGGCCTGGATTTTGGCCATTCTTAAGAAGTGAGTATTGTATCTCCTTTTGTTGTTTGAATTTGCATTTCTTTGATGACATGCGATGTGGAGCATCTTTACATATGCTTATTTGCCATATGTATATCTTCTTTGGTGTGGTGTCTTAAAGTTTTGGCCCATTATTTAATTGGATTGTTTGCTTTCTTATTGAATTTTATGAATTATTTGTATATCTTGGATAATAGTCCTTTATCAGATGTGACTATTGCAAATATTTTTTCCCAGTCTGTGGCTTATATTTTCACACTCTTCATATTTTCTTTGCAGAGCAGAAGTTTTTTATTTTAATGCAATTCAGCTCATCAATGGTTTCTTCCATAGATCATGTCTTTGGTGTTGTATCTAAAATGTATCACCATTCCCAAGCATGTCTATGTTTTCTCTTATGTTATCTTCTTGGAGTTTTATAGTTTTGCATTTTACATTTATGTCTATAATCCATTTGGACTTAATTTTTGTGAGGAGTTTTAAGGTCTGTGTCTAGATTAATGTTTTCGCATGTGGCTGTCCAGTTATCCCAGCATCATTTGTTGAGGAGTGTATTTTTGCTCCATTGTATTACCTTTGTTCCAGTTGACTATATTTAGGGGGGACTATTTCTGGGCTCTCTATTTGTTCCATTTATCTATTTATCTATTCTTTAGTTAATACCACACTGTCTTGATTACTCTAGCTTTATAGCGCACCTTGAAGTTGGGTAGCATCAGTCCTCAATTTTTTTCTTCTTCAATATTGTGCTGGCTATTCTGGGTCTTTTGCCTTTCCATATAAACTTTAGAATCAGTTTCTTGATATCCACAAAATCAATTTCTGGGATTTTGATTGATATTACATTGAATCTTTAGGTCAAGTTGGGAAGAAATGATATGTTGATAATATTGAATGACAATATTGAATCTTCCTATCCATGAACATGGGATATCTCTTCATTTATTTAGTTCTTTGATTTTTTTCATCAGAAATTTTAGTTTTCCTCATACAGATCTTGTACATATTTTGTTAGATTTATACATAAATATTTCATTTTTTTGGATGCCAGTGTAGATGGTATTATGTTTTTAATTTCAAATTCCACTTGTTCATTGTTGGTATATAGGAAAGCAATTGACTTTTGTATATTAATCATGTATCCAACAATCTTGTATAATTACTTATTAGTTCTAGGAGATCTTTTGTCACTTCTTTACCTTTTCTACATAGAAAATCATCTTTTCTGTGAACAAAGATGGTTTTATGTCTTCCTTTCTATTGTACCTTTTATTTCCTTTTCCTACTTTATTGCATTAGCAAGGACTTCCAGTATGATGTTGGAAAGGAGTGGTGAGAGGGTCATCCTTCCCTTGATCCTGACCTTAGTGGGAAAGCTTTGAGTTTCTCACCATTAAGCACAATGTTAGCTGTAGTTTTCTTGTAGATATTTTTCATCAAATTGAGAAAGTTCCCCTCTATTCCTAGTGTACTAAGAACTTTAACATGTGAATTGGTATTGGATTTTGTCAAATGCTTTTTCTGCTTTATTGATATGATATGTGATTTTTCTTTTTTAGTCTGTTGATATGATGGATTTACATTATTTGATTTTTGAATGTTGAGCTAGCCTTGCATACCTGGGATAAATCCCATTTGGTCATGGTGTGTAATTGTTCTTGTACTTTTTTTGGATTGGAAGTGCTAATATTTTGTTGAGAATTTTTGCATCTGGGTTCGTTAGAGATATTGGTCTGGTAGTTTTCTTGTAATGTCTTTATCTGGTTTGGGTTTTAGAGTAATGCTGGCCTCATAGAATGAGTTAGGAAGTTTTCCCTTTGTTTCTGTACTCTGAAAGACATAGTAGAGATTGGTATAATTTCTTTCTTAAATGTTTGGTAGACTTCACCAGTGAACTCATCTGGGCCTGCTCCTTTCTGTTTTAGAAGATTATTAATTATTGATTCAAGTTAATAGATTCAGGCCTATTCAGATTGTCTATTGTGTTTTGGCTGATTGCGTTTTAAGGAATTGGTCCATTTCGCCTGAGTTGTCAAATTTGTACCCATGTAATTTTTCATAGTATTCTTTTATTTTTCATTCAGTGACCAGAGGATTTTTGGTGAGGTCCCCTCTTTCATTTCTGATATTAGTAACTTGTATCTTCTCTTACTCTTAGTTATCCTGGCAAAGGCTTATCAATTTTATTGATCTTTTCAAAGAACCAGCTTTTGGTTTCATCAATTTTTTTTCTCTATTGATTTCCTGTTTCAATTTCATTTTGATTTCTTCTCTAATTTTTATTATTGCTTTACTTCTGCTTATTTCAGATTTAGTTTGCTCTCCTTTTTCTAGTTTCCTAAGGTGGAAACAGATTATTGATTTTAGATCTTTCGTCTTTTCTGCTATTTGAATTCAATGCTATAAATGTCCCTGTAAGCACTGCTTACACTACATCCCACAAATTTTCATAAGTTGTGTTTTCATTTTCATTTAGTTCAAAATGTTTTTAATTTGTCTTGTGATTTCTTCTTTGTTTGTATGTTAGTTAGAAGTGTGTTGTTTAACCTGAATGTATTTTTGGATTTTCCATTTATCTTTCTGTTACTGATTTCTAGTTTAACTCTATTGTGATCTGAGAGCAGACATTGTATGCTTTGTATTCTTTTAAATTTGTTAAGGTGAGTTTTATGGCTCAAAATAGATCTGTCTTGAATGTTGCATATTAGCTTCAGAAAAACGTGTACTCTGCTGTTGTTGGATGAAGTAGTCTATAGATGTCAATTATATCCTGCTATTGATGGTGTTGTTGAGTTCCACTACATCCTCAGTGATTTTGTCTGCTGGATCTGTCCATTTCTGAAAGAAGGGTGTTGAAGTGTCTAAGCATGATAGTGGATTCATCTATTTCTCCTTGCAGTTCTATTTTTGCCTCATGTAGTTTGATACTCTGTTTTTAGAGACATACACATTAAGAATTATTATGTCTTCTTAGGGCATTGAACCCTTTACCATTATGTACTGCCCATCTTTATCCCTGATAATTTTCCTTACATTGAAATCTGCTCTACCTGAAATTAATATAGCTACTCTTGCTTTCTTGTGATTAGTGTTAGCCTGGTATATTTTTCTCCATCCATTTACTTTTAATCTGTATGTGTCTTTATATTTAAAGTGGGTTTCTTGTAGACAACTATAGTTAGGTCTTGGTTTTAGAGCCATTCTGACAATCTGTCTTTTAATTGGTGCATTTAGACCACTGACATTCAAAGTGTTTATTGATATAGTGGAATTAATATCTACCATATTTCTTACTGTTTTCTATTTGTTGCCCTTGTTCTTTGCACCTATTTTTGTCTTCCACTCTTGTTCTGCCTTTTGTGACTTTAACTGAGCATTTTATGTGATTCCATTTTCTCTCCTTTTTAGTATGCCAGTAATATTTCTTTTTAACATTTTTTAGTGGCTCCTATAGTTTGCAATATATGTTTAAAACTAATCCAAGTCTTCTTTCGAATAACTCTACCATTTTATGAGTACTGTGAATTCCTTATAATAACAAAATAATTCTAATTCCTTCCTCACATCTTTTTCATCATTGCTGTCATTCATTTCACTTATATATAAACACACATAAACATATATATACATAAGATATATACATAAGTGTACATAATAAAATACATTGTTGCTATTATTATTTTAAATAAATTATCTATCAGATCAATTAAGAAAAAGAAAAGTTTTTATTTTGCCTTCACCTATTCCTTCTTTGATGCTCTTTATGTAGATGCAAGCTTCTGACTTATACTGTTCTCCTGCTCTCTAAAGAACTTCTAACATTTCTTTCCAGGCAGGTCTACTGGCAACAAATTCTCTCAATTTTTGTCTGAGAAAGTCTTTATTTCTCCTTCATTTTTGAAAGATAATTTCACAGGATACAGAATTCTAGATTGGTAGGTTTTTTTTTTTCTCTCAACCCTTTATATATTTAATTCCACTCTCTTCTTGCTTGCATTGTTTCTAAGAAGTCAGGTGTAATTTTTATCTTTGTTCCTCTATAGTTAAGATGTCTTTTTTCTCTCTCTGGCTTCTTACTGAATTATTTCTTTATCTTTGTTTTCTTTTGTAGTTTGAAGATGATATATCTAGTTGTAGATTTTTGGCATTTAGCCAGCATGGTGTTCTGAGATTCCTGGATCTGTTATTCAAGGTGATCTAACATTCCTGCTATCTGACATTAACTTGGGGAAATTCTCAGTCATTATTGTTTCAAATATTTCGTCTGTTCCTTTCTCTCTCTTCTCCTTATTGTGTTCCCATTACATGTATGTTACACCTTTTGTTATTGTCCCACAGTCCTTGGATATTCTGTTCTGGTTTTTTTTGCTCTTTATTCTCTTTGTTTTTCAGTTTTTAAGGATTCTATTGATATATCCTCTAGCTCAGAGATTCTTCCCTCTGCTGTGTCCATTCTACTAATGAATCCATCAAAGGAATTCTTCATTTCAGTTACAGGAGTTTTTATCTCTAGTATTTCTTTTTGGTTCTTTCTTATGATTTTCATCTCTGCTTTCATTGCCCATCTGTTTTTGCATGCTGTCTACTTTATCCATTAAAGCCCTTAGCATATTAATCATACTTATTTTAAATTGTGTTTTTTGCCTTAGGGTTCTTCTATGTGAACCATTGCCCCAGCATGGCAACTGACAGATGGGTGGTGTGGTTCCACAACTGGGAAATGAACCTGGGCTGCCAAAGTGGTGAGAGTACCAAACTTTAACCACTAGACCATCAGGGCTGGCTCTAGTAATTTTTTTCTCGAAAGCAGGACATGATGTACCAGGTAAAAGGAACTGCTGTAGACAGGCCTTTAATAATATGGTGTTAAGATGTGTACATAGAGGAAGCGTTTTATAGTCATATGATTAGGTCTCAGTCTTTTAGTAAGCTTGGGCCTCTGGACTGTTATCTTCACCCCAGTTTCTCAGCGTTTTTCTCCCCACTTAAGTGGGAGTGGATTGCTAGGGTCGGTTGAAGTTAGGTATTTCCTTTCCTGAGGTCAGTTAGGCTCTGATAATATCCCAGAATTTTAGGCTGTGGCTAACTAGTTTCCCCTGAGGGCAAACCTTGTTAAGAAGAACAGAGTGTTCTGGCTACTTCAAAATGGTTCTTTTTCCCCTCCCCTAAAATAAATTTTTCTCTGATATTTACCTTGGGAACCTGGTCACACTCCTAGAGATAAATTGCACAATATTGTGGGGGCCCACCTATGACTGCATCCCCCTGGAGTTTTTAACTTTCAGAGTTGTCAGTGCTGAACCTCTAGCAATTCATCAATTACAGTTCAGGTTTTCCTCTCCAAGCACTGCTTCCCACATCAGTTTCTGCTCATGAGTGCAAGCTCTGGTAAGCCACATGTCCCTCTAGTTGCCTGTCTCTCTCTCCAATCTTGGGAGTAGCGATTTGTCCTGTGTCTTCCCCTCTCTTATAGATCCAAGAATTGTTGTTGATTTTCCAGTCTATCCAGCCTATTTTTCAGTCTGTTCAGTCTATTTACTTGTTCTTAGGATAGAGTGGTAACTTGCAAGCTCTTTACATGCAAAATTGGAAAGCAGAGTCCCGATCCTTTTTCTTTTAATCAGATATTTGCATCTCCTTGTCTTAAGTATAATGTGACTTTATCCTGAGGTGACAGCTCCCATTACAGCTGGCTAGTATGCAATTTGTAAAATAATCCATATGCAGCATGGCAGATGACATTACTGTTATCTTCGATTTTCTT